CTCTGTGTATCTGGCTCTCCACTTTCACTCACTCCTTTCTCCTAAGGGGTTTTGTTGTAGTGATGTATTTTAGTTCTCAGATATTTGTACCCCCTCCCACCCCCCACCCCACTTCCCCCCATAAAGATGAACCCTGCGTCTCTTCACCATGCTGTATATCCCTAAACCAATGATTGTCTCTCACACTTCAAGAGCACTGTGGGCTGCAGGTAGAGCCCCTGATTTTGGAGGGTTTCTGTGTTTTATTTTTTTTTTAATGGGAGGGAGGGGAGGGTGGACTTGCGCTTTTTTTGCCTTTTATTTTGAAATATAAAAAAAGTCTGTACTATGAGATTTAATGAAAAAGTCAGTGGCTTTTAGTGTTTTTTTTTCTCTCTCCTCATAGAATGTGATTGTTAAAGACATGCACCGAGATAAAAACATGTTTTCATGAACTATGGAGCTTCTTTCAAACTATTAATAAATTGCAGTTTTTTTCTTGGCTGTTGAAAAATAATGTCCTGAATTCCTTAATTTTTTAACCATTTTTTAATGGATCATTCATGCAAATTTTTTGCATTATAGTTTTTGTATGTTTTTCGATCCATCTCTCAGAGCTGTGATTCACACATTTCTCCTATCACTCTTAAAAGTCTTTTTTACAAGAGACATAGTGCCCACAACCCATACCTGGAACTCTATATGACTAGTTGTCATTTCCCCCTTTTTGAAAGTCTCATTCAGTTATATGCCACATGCAAGGACTTTCCATTTATATAATGTATAAATGTTTGTATCTATAATCTCTGTGTAACGTGAAGATAAATTAGTACAAGATTGTGAAATTGCTAGGAAGACAAGTTTTTTTGAAGTGTTTCCAAACTACTGCCAGCTTCCTTATTGGGCATTGAATTTAAAGTAGGATTTTTTTTTTCAGTTTTGTAATTTCATTTGGTTTGGGACAGAATCGTGATAATGCCGTAAATAATGCACTCTTTCACTGTAAAGACTGGAAAGACCAGAGCAGTCCAGACAGATGTGCGTGAGAGCTTAGGCGGTCAGGGGCCGCACTCTCCCACCAGCTGATGTCGATGTAGAACTTGTTCATGCTGGTCTTGAAGACTCTTCTTGCCATGGCTGGGCTGGGCTGGGAGAGAAAGCCGTGTTCTGCTAATCGAGACTGGGCTTGTGGACACCGTGGACACTCCAGCGAGGGTGATGTTGCAGGGTCAACCCATCAGCACTCCATATGCTTGATTGCAAGGGAATGTTAAGGGTTATTAGTCTGTCTCCTGGCTGTATTGGAAACATCCTCTGCAGCCTGCATTGATAACAGTTTTCCAACACCTTGAGGCATCTTCTGTATGTTAAGATTAGATCACTTTATTAGCCCTATACAATTTCGTGCATTAGGAATTTGTCTTTTCACATACCCCAGCTTGCTCTCCCTGAGGCACACAGACAGGGAGAGAAGCTGGGGGTCAGAGCGCAGGGTCAGACATTTCTACAGCGCCCCTAGAAGACTTGGGGTTAAGGGCCTCGCTCAGGGGTCCTTTGTGGCCTAGGGCTGCGTGGTCATGTTGGATCTGTCATGCCTTACTGGATGTCGGTATTGGCCAACTGTGAGAGAGCATGTGTGAGCTGTGGGGAGCACTCCAGTATCTGACTGTGAGTCCGAATCGCTAGGGGTGGCCCCTGCTCGCTGAGAGCTGGCTGACGGAAGAGCTTTGTCTTGTTAGAGTTGAGCTTTAATCCCATTTTTCTCGTCTGTCTCAGGAAAGACAGATTGTCTCTCTGGAAGGGGCGTGGGTGCACTGGAGCTGGATGGTGACAAAGTGGGGCTGGGCTTTGTTCTGGATTGGAGTCAGCCAGAGTTCAGTACTTTACCTTGCATATGGCAATAAGATCTACTTGAAACAAGCTTTTTAGTTGTCAGGTGTAACATTAAGGGAAGGAAAAATGAGACTTCTAAAGATTTCTAAGTGCAGGGTGTTCAATTACCTATTGTATTAGTGTCAAGTATTAGCAAAACTGATTGACAGAGGCCTTTATTTTTGAAGAGCAGAATATATTCAAAGCGAATGTCTGCCTTTTAAATGATTAAAAATACTGAAATGTGTGCATTTCTAATGACTAGAAACGCCGTCACATCGTTCATGGCTATAACTCCAAAAATGCTCTCAGGTGTGTTGATATTGAATGTTTTTGAATAAAGCAAAGAACACGTAGGCTTTAGCAACACCTTGAGCCTGTTCTTCCTTTTTACAAAACACCAAGTTAACTGAAGTTAGTCTTTTTTTATTTTAAGGCTATTGTTTTTATTTGTGTGTGTGGAGATGTTTAACTGATGTCTGTTGACTGTTGCTAGAATGTGTTGGCCACCCGCCATTTACCACATCAGAATAGATAAATAATGATCTACTTAGTGTACAAAGTGTGGTATCTTGTGGACACATCGCCTCAAAACAACACCCCACAGTGCTGCAGGACCACTGTGGTCTTTGTGTACCACATGCCCAATCTGATTTGCGCAAGTCACCACATAAGCAGTTAATAGCCTGTTCGCAAGAGCAGAGACTCTTCTTGGTAAACACTGATCTTTGCAAACCACTGTTCTGTTTCTGAGAGGCCTCAGCCCCGCTGCAGCTCTGAAAACAGTGTGAGCTCTTTATTCCTGGCTAATTGAACTGAACTCCTACATAGTCACAGTTCATAACTTTACTGAATATAACCTTATAATCTCACGGGTTTTGTGTTTCTATGCCAGATAATCACTGAAATAAATTAGATGTCCTGGAGCAAATGGAGAACGTGAAAGAGGAATTAACCCAACGCTTTGGTTAGTAGCTGCTTTCCTTTTGGTTGAATTGCTAAAGAAAGCTCAGGCATTTTAGCGTTTTGAATTTCAAAAATTTTCCCTGGGGACATTTAGAGGAAATGGCATTGGTGAAGGGGGTGTGTACAAAAATATGTAAAAAACACAATCTGAATCCATAAGGGCTCTTGTGAAAAATGTGAAGTTGTTTTCTCTGCAAATGCTTTTATGGAAAATATAAAAACATGAAATAAGAAATGGTGAAAAATGACAAAGTGCTGCAATGGTATCAAGGTATGTAAAGTGTAGGTATTGAACTAGAAATGGTGTTCTCCTGCCAACCTGAATATTCAAGTTGTCCTTCTTAGGAAATCTATAGTGTGCACAGCAGAGTTAGCATTGCTTGGAGAACTGATGCAGCTATCAATACGATTCTACTCATCATGTTTGGACTGGTCATAATCGGTTCAGGGAAGGGTGACCTGGTACGTTCCTGGTCTAAAATAAAAAAAACGTCCTAGTCTGAAAGAACTGTCTTTCTCAGTCCAGATTGGATAATGCTGTGAGACAACCTCATTCAAATACTCAGAATCCTCAAAGGCAGTCTGATAACGTCTTCTTCAGCCCCAAAAGGGAAACGGGACCCAGAGGGACACCCGTGAGAACTACACAACTGAGCCTTTAAAACTGAGAACAGGAGCCACTACCTGCCACAAAGGGTGGTGGGAGTGTGGAACAAGCTGCTCAGCCAGGTTGTGGGAGTCCATATCCTTCATCCACGGCTGGCTGGTATCCTGGGATCAATTTACTACCAAACGGGCTGGGGCCGGCACCCTCAGAGTCCCCTTGCCTGTGACAGCATGGCGGGCTTGCAGATGTCCCAACGCAGTCCAGATGTTTGTGTGTCACTGTCAGTCCAGCAGCTGTGCGCCGTGGCCGCCTGCGGTCCTGAATGGGCTCGCTGTGACCTGTGACCTTTGACCTCTTCCCAGACCAGGGACCATAGATAGAAACTAAGCGCTGCCGTGTTTGTTGAGATGTTTCGGGAAGTGGCCTGGCTTTCCGTCCTTCAGGAAATCACCACTGTTGTGCCTGGAAAGTCCCACCCACAAGGCACCCCGGCCAGTTTTTCCCCTCCACTGCCATCAGATAAGTCAGCAGTGTTTGTTCCCTCAAGAATGCTGGGTAGGAAACGGTAGTAAAGCTACATTAAGATACAAGGTAGGAGAAAGCTTGGGGTGTCACAGTGCTGTAGGTCTGAAGTTGAAGCAGGGTTTTGGTTAAAAAACACTTCTTTGTCTAAAAAAAAAGTGGAAATGAAGTTGTAAAGCTCAACCAATCGTAATTACCCTGGGAATTAGTGGATATTTCTGGTAACATCCCAGGATAACTGATCAGCACTCTGAGCTGCTGAGACAGTGAGAGTGACAGTGAGACAGCGATGTGATTTAGACTCATTTCTAACCTATCTTCTATCCAAAAAGAAAAGCTGATGTGCTTCAGGATCCTTTCTAGTTTTTTATGAGTGGTTGAAAGGTTGGAGTCACTATTACTGCCGATTCCAAATCCATTGATTAAAGCACTAATTAAACAGCAATGAAAATAATCTAATTGAACATGAGAAAATACATTCAAAACAATAAATTGGTCTTACTCGTAATGCCATGAAGCTGCTGTATTTGTGCAGTGCAGAACAAATGCTTCAGATCCGTTCCACTTTTTTTACACAATTCATGTGTTGTATTGGTTTCCTTCAAAGTGTGATCATGAGTGCAGCTTCTAGGTTAAACTGCATAACAGGATTGGACACATCAAGGATGCATTTATTCCTCATTCACATTTCTGCAGTTTTCAGGAGCGACAGCTTTGTCTCTTAAATTAAAACATAATATCAAGTTCTACCAGAGCCATTTATCAATATATAATCATGCAGATTCTGATTCAAATGGCTTCTTGTTACATCTGGGCAAAAAAATAATTAGCTGCACATCAATAAGCATGGCTACATTCATTGGCATGTTGTTGGCTGTTAGCACTGGGAAGTAACTTCAGTAAGGCAGAGATCAAAGATAACGTCGGAAAATGCTGATCAGCAATTACTTTAAATATTACAACGATTTCGACTGCATTTCCATTCCATCTCCATCTCCGGCTCCGTGAGCAGGCAGCGGATGAACGGCCGTCTGTTCCGTGCGTGCCTGGACCGGCAGGCGGCTTGGGAAAGACTCGCCCCGCCCCGTCAGTCCTTGCTGTCCGCGGGGACGTGGCTGGGGCTGACGTAGTAGTTCTCGTGCGGCGGCGGCCGCGGCCGCGCGTGGGGGTTAACGTAGACCGAGGTGTCGGTTTCCTGCAGGAGGCTGCTGTCCGGAAAGCTGCAGGGGGCCCTCCTGCGGGGAGACTTCGCCCCGCTCATCTCCTCGTAGATGGGGACGGGGGCTCGCGGCTTTGAGCGGCAGCACTGCTTGCCCTGCGGCACAGAGAGACCACCAAACCGCATCAGCTCGCCCTTCGGGGGGCACCGAGGGTGAACTTGACTCCTGCCTCGGGCTGTGCTTAGACCAGGCTTCCCTGTCCGTGGCAGAGCTGCTGTCCAGGACCGCAGCAGTTGTTTTTTAGCTGGGGCCCGAGTGCCAGATGCGGCTAAACTACTCGAATGAACTTAAAATATGGAAAGCAATGCACGAAGAAAGCATCGTTATGGATTTACAAAATGCAGTGCGAGCGTTGGTAATATACGTCGATATTCTCATAGCTAAAGCCTTCTAAGTAAGTTGCATGAACAATTAAAAAAAACGGACAGTCAGCCATTCTACATATGACTTCTGGAAAATCAGAACACAAGAGCTGCCCCAAAAGCTGGAGAGAGAATCGTGTTGCACTCGGCGTGCTATTTGTGCATCTGCGTCCTTATAAAAACACGTCTATATGCACAGATAGTCTGCCCCCATAAAGAAACACATTTTGTTTAAATTGTTTTTTACAATCAGGGACGTTCCAAGTCAGTGGTTCTCATTTCCCCAGCACGGCATTTGCTGGCTGAGCTCTGTTACCTAATTAATCACTTAAACGGGTTAATCTGAAGTCTTCGCTGGGTTTCAGTTCTTAAACGCGCTGGATAGGGGCGGGAGATGATACTGTCAACTATTGCAACTCTTTCACTTCAAATCCCTGCTAATTTGACCTTGGAAAGGTTTCAGTTGCAGACTGTGGTGCGTTGGCTCGATTTAGAAGCCCGAGAGCTGAGCTGGAATGACACTAGAATCGGGAAGCCCCCTTCTAGCCGAAAGAAATCGAATCTAACGGTTCAGTTGCCTTCTTATGAGCACACGTCGGCCAAGACCAGACAGATGAAACGTCCAGGACTCTCTGCTGCTCGCGCGCAGTGTCCAGTCAGCCGGGGATACTCACATAATGTGCTCCGAACAGCACGGCGACGATGAGCAGGAGCAGCGCCATGCCTCCGGAGATGGCGTAGAGCAGAGGCGGGTAACTGGAACAGCTGCAGACGGGCTCTGCAGAAACACAGCGGGACGTCCTTGACCACAGCTTGCATGGGAGACGCAAAGTGCCCGCGCCAAGGGGCTCCTGGGCCTGCCATCACAAGGCACCAGCGTGCTGCAGGAGCCCAGAGGAGCTGTGAGCCTCCGCGAGCTTGGCCACTGCCTCGCCACAGAGCGGAGGAGGTGCCCGGAGCCGGCGAATCCCTGCCTCAGGTCCCTGTCTAGGCACAGACACTGCTGCCACAGGGAGTCGTGTTAAACTGGAAACTGACCATGTCGTTTTCAGTCATGCTACCACAATCACTGGGAAAAATGCCAGCTTATTCCATAGCCTGGGCTGTTTCACTGAGGCGTAGCTGAAGATGGCTTTGCTCTTATATCTTCTTAGGTACAATGGAAAATAGACACAGATACAAGGTACCAGACAGTGTTGAAGTCCCCATAGGGAGCAAGGTCTTGTTTATAAAGTCCATGCTGTACTCGTGAGGGTAACACTGTCACAGCTGACTAATTCTTGTGGATATGCAAACAGTCCCCTGTGTTGATGAGACTCAAGGGTCTCCAGGATGAAGCTATTTTTTTATGATGGGAAGATCCATTTAATAAAAGGTTGTGCTCCGGCTGGCATACGGATCTGCGAGTCGGGTTAGAGGTGAAAAGACAATGGGAGATTCACATAAAGAATGAACGAGATCTGTTTTAGTGTTGTTTATCGGCTGTTGTATTATTTCTCTACAGCTGCTTGACGGATAGGCAGTATTCCATTGAATAGTAATATTCAGTTTTGCACAGATGTGATGCCGAATTGACGTCAATCACTTTTGATTTCAAGGGAAACTTCTGTCTAAAAGATGCACTGTGATCAAGCCACATTAGAGACTTCTCCCTTTTGCTTAAGTAAATGTCACTAGCTGGTTTTTACAGTAGCTCTGGGTCTGAGGACCATGGCAGCCTCTGTAATGGAGGTTAAAACAGCCAAAAGCTTTTGCAATGTTGCTTGCTAGCGTGCCGCTTTAAATTATGATGAAGAATTCAGCAAGTCATAGTCATTTGAGGAAGTGCCAACACAGCCCTGTCAGATTCCCTGCTTTGAGGGTGAAGCCCTCTTTATAAGGGGGATACGTTACACAGCAATGAAAGAGCACTTGCACGCTCAGTCATGCAAAAATTCAGCCACTATAATTACAACTCATAATGACAGGGAAGAAGATTTATGGGGTGGCTGTGGCTTTCTTTTAAGCATGAAACCTGACTTCCAGCGCTCGTGGTGGGAGCTGGACAGATGATGCAAGCCCAGTTCCTGTCTCTGAACCACACGCGCCGCACTCAGGAAGCTCCAGAAAGGGGACTGACTCCATTGTTTATTGGACCTCGGCCCTCCTTCCTCCTTGGCCATGAAAAACTGTTTTGTACCTGCAATTCGGGGCACATGCCTGCATTGGAGCTCCTGAGAAGCAGTCTCGTACCCCTTGAAGTTTAGACGGAAACTGGAAAACTCACTTCCTTCCTGTCCAAAGGTTCAGTCCCTGCTGCTGCTCTGAACTTCAATCTTATTGTACAGCTGTGGTCTGACCAAGACACTAACTTGGGACAAATAGGGTCAAAATTTTAGAGGAACTGAAGCTATTTTTGTGTCTTAAAACACAATGTGGTTTTGAAGTCGTGAAGAAGACTTGCCTAAAAGACGTGGAAGGAAGAAATGCAAAAACTATGTTTTTCAGCGTTAAAGAAGCTACTTCTACATGAAATAACCCCAGGAATCTAAACGGGTGATTTTCCACAGTTGTCTTTTTTCCAGTACTAAAAATACTCCCCATTTGACAAGAGCAACAATGCAAATTCTAGTAAGAGATGCTACAGTATGCTATGTAGGAAAGGCTGAACTAGAGTAGAGCAGAAGGCTTCAAACATGCTCTGAACATTTTCGACCTACCTTGCACAGAGATAAAGTAAGTTCTCCTCCCTAGAATGCGCTTGTTCTCTTGCTTGCCAGGACGCAGCAGCTCACAGCTGTACAAAGCACTTTCATTGCGCTGCAGGTTACTAATAGTGAGCTTATAGGTCTGGGTACTGAGCTCTCTTTCGAACTGAAGGCGACTCTGGTGCAGTCCATTATGTCCATTATGCCTCTGTTCTCTGGAGTGGTACAGCACCTCCACCTCAGCCCCTGTCCTCTTTCTTTTTAAGCAGAAGCCATCCATAAAGCTGTCTGTGCCTTCAGCAGGACAGGGGATCACAGCAGAGTCCCCTTCACGTGTCTGTAACGGCACTACTTCCACAGAGAGCATTTCTTCTGAATAAGAGACAAGAGACACTGCTTACTACATGCCTGCTCTAAAAACCTTCTGCCACACATCTGCTCTAGACCTTTGCCGCACAACAGCTCTAGAACCGTGTTGCATGCTGCTCTAGAACCGTGCTGCCTGTCTGCCCCAGAGCCTTGGCGGCTCCCGTCAGCTTTCGTTTACAGCAATCAAGTTGCGTGACGGATAAAAACAGCAAGAGAACACAAACGTGATTTTCAGGTTAAAACCATCACGTCTCCGTAAGTCATGAGCATAAAGCCCTCGGCTGTACAGTAACAGAACCAGAGCCTGCAAGACTGCTGTAAACCATAAGGAGAAAAACAAGATAGTGTGTTTTGTGACTGGATTTATTGAGACCTGGTGTTTAAAAGGCATGACTCCCGTTTAGCAGCAGATCTGAAACGTACGTATCGGTGAGAGAAGACAATTAGAAAGCTGCATGTTAGGTCAAAGCATGTCAAGGGTCTTCAGTATTAATTTAGGGGATGGATGTGGGACTTTGACAAAACGGGGGTGGAGGGGGGGAACTGTAGCCTTTTTCCTCATCCCCAGCCGACCCACCGGAGCGTCCTCTCAGAGCGGAGTCGCGATCCGATACCGCAGTCCCGGGGTCAGGGATCACAGCTGCCTGCAGTCCGCCAGCCGGCACTTCCCCCACGCCAGCGGCCAGAAAGAGGGGGCGTGGGGGACCCCCCCGATCGCCTACCTGCTCTTTCCACGAAGACGAAAAAGTCCCTCTCCCCCGAGACGTGCCGGTCCAGGGGGCTCCCTTCGTAGATGAACTCGCAGTGGTACAGGCCGGTGTCCCCGTGCTGCAGCAGGGAAATGGTCACGTTCAGCTCGTTCTCCCTGGGCTCCCCCTCCAGCTGCAGGCGGTCCCTGAACGAGGGGCTGACCGTCCGGTCCCGGGCGCCGGAGCGCAGGAAGAGCACTTCCTTCTCCGGGTTCTGGCACTTCTTCCGCAGGTAGAAACCGATGGAGGAGGTGCTCCTGTCCTGGGACAAACAGGAGATCTGCACGGAGCCCCCCTCTTGCCTTTTGAGGTACACCACGTCTGACAGCACCCCCAGGTCTGAAAGAGAGGGCAGGAAGAAGCAGACAAGGCAGCAAGCCACAGCAACGAAGGCAGGCGAAGACTTCGGGATCTTCGCTGGGTCTTTTATTGTTTTAACTCAACATCTGGGACTCCTGGTAACCTTGTTCATGAGAAAGCAGTAAGAAACACGAAGACTGTAGTAGAGAAATGAACCACTGACAGAATTCTAATATCATACCATCTGTTTCCACAGGATATAAGAAGTCAGGAAGGAGGATTATCATTTTCTACAGAGAACTTTTTTGGAGGGAAGGCTGACTGGTAATCTTTTTCTTAATTTGACAGGCTCAATGTTACGCCTTATGAATCATGCATCTGTTTATCTACAAGGTTTCCCCTACAAAGTTCAAATGTAACTTTCTTCTGTCAGGGGCAGAATGTGGGGGACCTGTCTTCTTTTGACCCATATTTAGCATTTACTCATCCTCAATCTGCTGTATTGGAGGCCTGTGCTCTTGAATGTCACTCCTTTGGTACTCCCTCTGTTAAGGCACACAGGTCTGAACACAGCTGTGTTGATGCAGAACTACAGGGCCGTGGAGTCTGGGGTTAAGCCTCATTTTCTTATCGGCAACTGCTACATCTAAATGTATAGCCATATCATAAAACCAGAAAGCAAATGTCGAACATCCATATGCTGGGCGCATCATCTCAAAAACCACTATCGTGTACTTGGCCGTTTTTATTTTGCAGATAAAGATAAAATAAAATCAGATAAAATATGCGCGACAACCTCACAACGATCACTTGTCAAATCTAGTCAGCGCTGGTGTGGCTGCACAGTGCTTTTTCATTCATACTGTACACACGGAACACCTAGTTTACCCTGTCATCAAGAATGAATATAAGAGTTTTATTCCCCATTGAAAGATCAGTGCCTCACTGTCTTCAGAGATTGCGGGACACCATGTGTGCAGTCTTTGGAAGTTTGGAAGTTGTGACCCAAGCAGATCATGAGCCTCTACACAAGAACTGCCAGTAGGCAATGTAATAATTTACCCCCGCTCCCCCACAATACGAGCAAACCAAGGCTTAAACACGGGCAATGAAGGAAAGTGGGAAAACAGGCTCTACTGTACCTCCACGCTTTTGTCGACAGAAACAACAGACCAGTGGAGACCCCGTAATCCGACAGAAATTAACGGACGTCTCCATTATTTTCACCCATTATCAGCGGGCTGACAGAGAGGACACGCATCCTATTGGGGGGAAATGAGGGGACAGCTTGGGGAAGACAACGCAGTTCTCCCCCTCCCCCTCCGAGACCCCGCCGTCCCAGTCTGGGGAGCTTGCAGGGGACTTTACCGCACGTTAAATGCCGATATTATCCGCTCCACGCTGCGGCCCTCCTCTGCCCTGGTTTCACATCAATGAGGGGCTACGCACGCGGCAGTCGCGCGCACCCAGTGACCTAAATGCTCCCCAGCCAGCAATGTGCGATTCCCTCCAGCTCACCCATGTGGTTTTCATGCTCCTAGCCCAGAGTTAGTAACACCAGCCACCGGGCAGGACAGCCTTGCTATTCCGCAGCAGTGTAGCCGGGGAACAAGCACAGCTCATCTTAGCTGTGCTGAATTCGAGAGCCCCAATTACGTTAAACGAGAGGCAGCCCCTCAAACCCATTATCCGCGCTGTCGAGGTTCGTCGCGACAGGATATACGACTCGGTTCGTGCCTATGGAATAACTCTTTATAATTCTTTAAACCCAGGTTTCCGTTTCTTTTTACAGAAAGAGGTGACCTTGTCCTTTGTGAAACAGGCTCAGTTCTTGGAATTCAAGAGTTTGGGACCGACCCGTACGCGTCTGAAGCCGAACATAAACATAAATATTTTCGGCAATCCGGTAGTACAATTAAAACTGGAGCTGAGTCATTCCGTGAAAACAAAGAATATTACACCGTTAGAAGTCTGCTTTCTAAATCAATCCTCGCTTTCAGATTCGCCTTTTGGAACAGGTGTGTTTTAGTGTAGACGAGGGAACTGTTTGACCCAAATTTATTATTTAAGAGCTTTGTTTAAAACAAGCGCGCAACGAGTTTTAAATTCTGTAACACTTCCCAAGCCGTTTACCGTATAAAAATCTCAGTTACCGCTTAAACTTTCCTAACTGGGGAAAGAAAGAAGTTGCTACGAAAGCTACTAGTTACTTATCCTTCGACAAATGCTCAATTATTTCTTCAATTACGGGCAACAACACGGTAGATTGGCGAAAACAAGGTGAGTGAATTGATCTTGATGTATAATTATTGCATCCACGTTTCAGAAATAAGGCTCCTATACTAACTTAAAAGTTGGACTAGAAAAACATGTCGACTTACCAACTGCGGCCGAAACGATAATCGGTATCAACCAGCCTGCATGAAGCATGATTGGTCCCTGTGACACTGTTTTTATTCCCGAATGGAACTCCTTAAAGAGAAGCACGTCACTTAGGCATAATGCACGGAAATGAAAATAATAATAATGCTAAATAAAGAGATACACTTTTTAAAATAAAGTACCAAAAGGAGAAATATCAAAGCAAAAAACAAAAAAGAACTAGACAAAACGATGTTCAAAACATAACATTCACAGATGTCGCCTTTCTGGACAAGGATTGCTCTGAATGCGCAAATAAATAAAGACAATGATCGGAACTGAGATGATGCTTCTGCTTGACAGACAGCCCCGCCTCTTCTCCAGACTTCTTCCTAATGAGAAGATTTCAGGACGCCGGGAATAAAATAAGCGGTACTCTAGCTCCCCGGGATCCATCGAATCGATTGGGATCGGTTCCGACGATTTCCGATTAGATTTTGGCACTGGGGAAAAGTTTTCCCTTTTTTTCCTTTTCTTTTTTTTCCTCTTGTTGGTTCTAACGCGGCGGTGCGCACACAGCCTGTGTAGATGTTTCAGCCTCTGCGCGTCGGCGGGTTCCAGAGACTCCCAGCCCGAGGGGAGCCTGTTGACTTACTGGAATCGCCAGCTGTGTGATTTTTCACCTTTTATCTTGCAGCTACGAATCCCGCGCAGAGGAGGAGGAGGAGGAGGAAATGTGAGCAGTTTCTTCTCACCCTGCTGAATTGGGCATCTCCGCTCGGCGACCCAGAAACCCTAACCCAGCTCACGGCATGACCCAGGAGGGCGCCCTTACTGCCAGAGCCACTGTCCCGCCAGAGGACGGCACAGAGGGGGCGCTCACCTGCCCCATCCTTCCCTAACGACAGCAGACCGACGTGAGACGGGTAAAATGACCTCCCGGTAGCTGCTGACGCGTGACTCCAGTCTGTCTCTGTAACTTCTGGAGCAAAGCGCGGCGCAGGGTTCACAAGTCACCGCGCGGTACCGTCAGTCCTGCCCACTGGACCAAGGTAGTCAAGACTGGCTAGCTGGCTAGGCGAAAGGGTCACACTTATTGCGTGCCTTTATTTTATTATGGTGTTTTGTAATTAATACCTTATGTGATCATAACGGAAAGGAAAGTCATCCTATTCATTCCTTTATTGCACATTAATAATAATAATAATAATAATAATAATAATAAATGTAACTGTAGTGTTCGTGTGATGGTAGTTGATATTGCAGTTTCTTGACAGTTTATTACAGAACAGCCGCATTTACCACACAAGTTCTCACTCACTTCCTGTCCTGTTCCTTCCTTCGACGTCTGCGTTTGTTCCACTAGAGGGCAGCATTCCAACACGTTCAGGGGCAACTCGTTTTTCTACGTGTAATATGTACAGCACGCTGTAATTACAAACATCATTTTGTGCAGTTACAGAAGTGTTCTGTAATACAGAGCTCCGTGTTTGCGTCGATAGGAAAGAACAAAACAAAACAAATGTGCGATCATAGATTTGTTTACATCTGTTTACAAATTTTAAAAGCTAGAAATGAGACAGAAGAAACACTTCAAACTATAGGCTATGGGCTGTAAAGTGCCTGATGGCTCCCATTAAGGTAGGGAATTGTGTGGCGTCTGTAGGGCAGTAGTACGTCGTCTTTTCCGCACAAAATTGGTATCTGCATTGATGTAAACTGCATCAATGACATAAGCGATGGTAAAACATTAAATAAAATTCCTTTGTCATCAAGAACAGTGTATGTGTTATCATTGGTCCCCCCAGGACGGGTACCTGCAGTGTGTCTGACTAACGTGACAATCAGTGCTCAATAAGAACTTCAGAATAATTTAAGACGCGTTACAAAAGAGGGCAAAGTGGTGGCCCAGTGGTTCGCAGTGAAGCCATGCGTTCAATCCCGCGGTGCTGTCTCTGTGGAGGTTGTATGTTCTCACTATGTTTGCATGGGGCTGTGTCCTTGAACTCTGCCTAGGCTCCGAACAGAAAGGATGTGGTTTTTACAAGAAAGACAGATGCAATTTCCGGCTACCTTCATGAAATCGAGAGGAGTTTCCAGTTCAGAGTAGCTGTCAGACGGATCCTGTGTATTGACTCACAGCTCCCGGCGCATCTGTGCAAGTGGCACCACCGTGAAAATGTGATAAAATCCTGGCAGACATGTCTGATGACTTGGCACATGTGGTGCAAGCTGGCAAGGCAAGGAGATGCCACTGGAATGGCATGATGGGATGCCCGTTTCCAAGCTGCATGCTGCTCACACAGAAACCGCCACTGGGAATAGAGACCAGTGCCATTTACAGCAATAGGCTTGCCCACGGTTGTTATGATTTGATATTATTTAATTAATTTGTTCGCTTTTGGCAACCTGTGGAGTAAGAGGAGGGAGGAAAGTCCTGCTCTAACAGGATAAAAGACAAATAAGTCAATAATTGAGCAAATAATCGCCTCAAGCCTACCCCTCCCAGCTGGTGAAATCCCGGGTGACAACTTTTGTACCCACCAGCAAGGGGTAGGCATGCGGGCCCTTCAGGACAAATACATGAGCCAGATAATTCTGCAGTTTGTGGATAATTCTCTACCTGTCCCAGCTGGGCTCTCCTGTCTGGGAATCCTGGCACCTTCAGTGCCATTTTCTGCATCAACAGAGAGGAAACTTGTTTCACAGCAGAGAAACAAGAAAGCAGTGTACTGTAATTCACATACTGTACACACACACACACAGTTCAGTCTGGCACGCCTTCTGTCATTGTATCACCTTCTTATGTTCTTGTACTGAGTTGTGTGTGCCACCAGTAGCAGTTTCTTTAAAAGGTTCATTTCTGGATTTTGAGTCTTCAAATAGAAACTGTTACCGGTCCCCTTCTTGCAAAGAGTGTGGGGAGTCGGCTGTCAGTCACTTTGCTGTTGTTCTGCAGCAGGTAGCTGCGCTGTCCTTGGGAGGCTGAGACAAGGCAAGAGCTGAAACTGGGTAAAGCTTCAGGGCATGTGCTCCAGACCCAGGTGGCAGTGGAACAAAACA